GCCGACAGGGAGCTCTGGTGTGGACTGGTCCATGAAGTCACGAAGAGTTGGAGACGACTGAACGAATGAACAACAACAACACAGATTTGCCTAGATATTTATTTCCTTGCAGCACACTGTTAAGTAACTTGGGGACAAACAAATTCTGAACATAAATTCTTGGATTAACCAGAAATTCTGGATTTATACGTAGTACCAACAGGATACTGATATCAAAACTGAAATTTGTAAATAAACATCAGTCTTCTCTGTTTTAAGTGCTTGACAATTTTTATGTACTGAAATTGAGGCAGTTAAGAAATCTGGGGGGGGGGGGGGGCAGGGACAGGAAAATTATGCATGTGTACTAAACATACAGTTTTCTTTTAAAAATAAAGTTTATTGGATTTCAGAATACACCTATGACACAAACTACTTCTTCTGGCACTCGTTTTACTTTACCCTTTATACTTTATTCAGGATTCTGAGATTCTACAAAAAAACTAAGAATAGTAATTTGTTTCAAATTCATGAGTTGTTAAATCTTTTTACACTGAAAATGCATTTCTTTTCAAGAGATGACACACTGGTTGTATTTTCTCTAGAAAGAACTCTGTATCTCTTGAGTGTTCAGGCCTATATGACAGGACCCTCTTAAAGGACTGATAATTTGTCCTACAGAAAAGGGGAACCAAACAGGTGGGTTGCTTTGATCTTTCCTTCACTTTGTTCTTGTAGCATTAAACACCTTCCAAAAGCCGTAATTGGTAGCTTTACCAGACCTACAGGGATGGATTTGGGATGCACAAGGGGATGCAGCGAGTGCTTTTCTCAATTCCATTGAAATGCACTATTTTTCCAATGGGCATCTAGCACTGGGAGCCCTCCCCAACAGTCATTCCTCCAGCTGTGAAGAATACTGCTAAAACATTATTTCCAACTTATCAAAGAAAGAGGAAAAATAGCAACAAAACACTCTGATGTTATTACAAAATTTCTTTCCTGTCTCATACTCAGAATATATACTGCATTTGAAATATTCAGCAGGTAAAACAAATAATTAGAAATGATATTATAACTCAATGGACATTCAGAGAATCTGCTCCCCAAATAAAAGGATGGATTAATACAATCCATGCTCAAGTAGAAACCAATCACAGAATAAACTATCTCCTGGAATTTTTCTTTCTTTGAATAGATAAGACTCCAGTTCTTAGCAGAACAAATGGTACCAAGCACTAGCTAGTATTCAAAGCAGTATAGAATTTATAACATTTAAGATAAATGCACTTAAAATAAAAATTTAAATCAGCAATGGCTAAACTATGATCCATTTTCTTTTTTAAAAAGGATTTGGTCTGGATATCCTTCAAGATCTTTTATTTTTGTAGCTTCTGTTCTTACTAAGGCACACGGTATTATTATAAAGCTAAGGTTTTATGAAAGATTGCAGTACAAATTTTGTTGTTACTTTTTAAGACCACTTTAAAAAAATCTGTTTTTCTGCCTGCACGATTTTTTTGTGTCTATGTCTTTAAAAATTGCTTTTAAGGAACAATGAAAAACAATCTTTCACCTTAAACATTAATAATCTATCTCCAAGTACCATAAAAAATAGCACTCAACCTTAAAAATTCACCAAAAGATTAAGAATACCTTTAAAACATGTTTTTCAGAATAAAACATGCAAATTCAGCTATTCAACTGAATAGCAATAAACAAAACTGATTTGTGGGCTATGTTTTCACATGTTGTAGTGCATTGGCAGAATGCATTCACAGTTCTATGCATAAACCCAGAGTGCCACTCATATATGAAAGGAAACAGAACAAATGAATCCACATGCACAGTGGAGAAAAAAGGATGAACCAGGAAAGTGAATCATCTTTGAACAACTGCATAATATTTGATAGAGTTCCATCTAACAAATCTCTATTTTTAAAAGTCTGAATCTACAAATAATTTTACAACCCAATAACATTTTTAGCTTGGTAACTGAAGTGAAGATTACTAACTATATCTGAACAATGTAACTTAAGAGAGAAGTTACCATTCACTAAATATTAAAATACCATTCACAGAATGCTAAATTTGAATGAATTCCTCTAAATAATAAATGAATAAATATATGTCAAAAAGTTACTGATAAATTTTCCTCTCTTCGTGTTTATTATATATATAAAGTAGAACATGTAAAATTTCATATAATATCTTGAGGATTAACTTTCTTCACCTGTAACATCTGACTTCCAGTGCCATCTCTTAATCGATAGGGCCGAATAACTCCATCCTCACTGAAGAAGCGGGGGGGACGCAGGCTTGTGATATCATCAGATGCATGTGTTGCTCTGAAAAGAAGAGTTAAACAATATCATATTACTGAATATTTTAAAAATACAAGCTTCTAAAACAGAGGGTGCACCTATACTGTGAAATCAATTCAGTTTGAGACCGTTTAAACTGGTATGGCTCAATGCTACGGAATGATGGGAGTTGTAGTTTGGTAAGGTACCAGAACTCTTTGGCATAGAAGGCTAAAGACCTTGTAAAACTACAAGTCCCATGATTCCATAGCATTGAGCCATATCATTTAAAACGGTCTCAAACTGAATTAATTATATAGTGCAGATGGACCGAGAGTTAATCATAGAAAATAAGTTAAAACATCTTTAAAATTATTTTCTTTTGTCTAATGTCTAGCACTATCTAAATAACTTTTTTAACATTGCAAATTGATATAATTCTAAATTTAAAGTAAATGAAGTGATTCTATATTAGTGAGGATTATTTAAAAACAACGTTACCTACTACAGTATTAAACTACTACTATTGTAAACAGCAGTTTTGCAGCCTGAAATGTGCATTTTGTACTCTTGTAAGTTGAGAAGAAGAAAAAGAGAAATATCTGAACTGAAAACTAGAAATATTCTTGCAGAAAAAAGTTGGACTTATTTTTACGATAAAGTAAGTGACACTTCAATAGGACTAACTTAATTTCAAGCAACTTTTGATTTCCTGCTATATACTTAGAACTAGCAACTTTCTTTTTTAAAGAGAAAGCAGCAACAACCACCCTCAAACTCATTTGACAATGAAACTCAGCTCTTACATCCGCACACCATTTTCTTCACCAAAATCACTTGTTTTGCTAATAACTGCAGTAAATGAAACTTTGAGGGGAACAGTAGTACTAAATATAGTGGGATTTTTTGGGAGGTTGAGAAGTTGGATTATAGGAAATGTTTGGTATCAGCATTAAAAATAATTCCTACAGATGGTGTTTTAACATGCAATGTTGGTGATGAATGCATTTTTACCTTTTAATTCCCTGAAAAGTGCTGCTTGCCATATCTATTATTCCTCCGGTGGGTCTTGCCACTGCTCCTACTAAACCTTTTCCAACGCCTTTGAAGAAGCCTGCTGCTCCTTCTTTCTGAGCACCTGACAGGACAAAATAGTATATTTTAAATGAATTGCACTAAATTAAAATAATATTATTATTTTCAAGATCTAATTAACTGAACTGCAAGTCCTTTCGTAAACTTTTTCAGATTGAAAGGAATCTTTGGGTGAGGAGACTCCTGGAATGAAAGAGACTCCTAAATTTATCAAGGAGAAATCTTATACAGCAGCAACAGGAATTAAAATAAATACTCTATGAGTGTTGCTTCTTATCTGTACTCTCCCCTCCCAAAATAATATCAATGATCATATGCATCTCTTAGAAAGTAACAGTTTTATGATTAAACAATACACTAAGAATTCATTGTAGGTGGAACATACCTCTTATTGGTTTTGTCACTATTCCTGTTATTCCACTAACAAAACCCTGTAAGAAACAAGAACATAAATATCATTATATCAATTTTATTTGCATTGCTTACATCTATTTAATACGGCATTTTATGTAAATGAAAGAAAACACAATATGCAAATAAAAACTATTATAGTTTGTAAATATATCTGATATGACTCAGACCCAGTATATTATATGCCATTCTAAAATTTCAAGTACTACATATAGTGTCTTACAGATACTAGGCCTTTTCCTCCACGAGTAAGGCCCTCTTTAATACCACTAGGTTGCCTATTCATGACTTCTCGCCGTTTCTGTTGATAATCTTCATCCATAGTTATGGCCGCCACTCCTTTAGCCATAGCACCAGTTATTCTTGACGCAGCACCAGCTAATCCACCTAGTAGTATAAAAGATTACATGATAAATATTCCTATGTTTACATACTAAAGTAAATAAAACTTTGATTTATGTTTTATTAAAATCACTGCTTACCAACAGCACCACCAACTAAGGCTTTAAGTCCTAGTGCCATTCCCTCAACAAACTCTTCTGGACCTTGGATTGCTCCCTAGAGAGAAGAAAGGAAAACAGCAAGATGTGAAAAAAAATCTCATTCACAACAGCAGAAATGCCCAAATTTCTTTTAGAAAAATAATCTGATTTTTAATGGATAGGAAGAATAGTACACCAAGGATAGATACTGACAAATATGAAGAACAAAAATGTATACTACCAACCTAACTCTTCTTTCCTAACATTTCAATGTGCAGATGATTTGAGGAAAAGAACGCTTTTTAAAAACTTTTAAGCTTCCTTTCTAAGTTCTCTACTCTCAGTTTGGAAAATCAAAAAAGAGAAAGTAATTAATAGAGGAGACCACAAATAAAAAGTGAAAGAATACAGCAAAATTCTGTTCTGCTAATGATCAGAATGACATATTCTCTAGTAAATATTTGCACGCATGTAACTATTACTCTGAATGAAAACTTGATAGTGCACTCACATGATAAGGTTCATAGAAGAAGGCCTCAACTCCTTCTGACAAATCTCGTATGAATCCAAATGGATTGCCCAAAACATCCAGTCCAAGAATAAGAACATACATTTGTTTTATAGCCTAAAATGAAAATAATTTTACAAACATACAATGTGAATTTAAAACCACAGACACATACAAATTCTATGAATCCATCCACAATATAAGGGTTTAGATGCATTTGAGGACAACCTGAGGGCTCACAAGAACAGTACAAAACATGACAAATAATAATAATAATAATAATAATAATAATAATATAAATAATAATAATATAATGAAATAATGAATAATGAATTTCCCTTCCTTTCTGTACTACAAATTGATATATGTGTGCATTTAATATGGAAACTATTGGTGATAGACTTAAGGGTTTATAGGTCTCAACCACACCAATATCTATGATTCTGTAGTTATTCTTAAACAATATAATTTATTGAATACGCCTTAAAAATAAAAAAGTTACCCATTCAAATCCTCTATTGTTGCAATTAATGCAGATGTGGGCATGATGTCAATACAAAGCCTATCTCAAGGGAATGCCAGAAATGTCATGATATACATTATAGACACACCCTCAAGTACAGCTGAGAAAAAATATAAAAATGTTAACATTTTTGCTAGGTATGGAAAGGTCTATTATCACCTATTCAATTTTTATTTGAGTAGTGCAAAAGCACATGAATTTATACAGAAACAAACAGTAAGTAGAGAAATTAAAGCCACACTGAAATCTCCTTCCTTCCTGTTCTCCTACAAATTGATATCTGTGTGTATTCAATATTGGAAACTAGTAGCGATAGAATGAAGATTCTATATTTTTAAAAGGAAGCAGCTGATTCTTCTACTTGACTGGGGGAAAAGCTCTTGATTATGACTTCATGTGGAATAAACTTCCCTGAGCCAATACATACAGCCATCTCCCCCTCCACAAGGAATCTTGGAAACAATGCCACATCTTGATTTTTGTATCAATACCATGGGGCATGGTGTCCCAGATTAAAAGGAAATACTTCCAGGCTGCTAAGGAGAGTCTACTGCTGCTTGAAGTGACAGTAAAGCTTTTATTTCTGCTGGATTTTTTAAGTAATTCTAAAAAAGGAAAGTTCTTTATTTGTTTTAGATTTTGTTGTGCTACAAAGATAAATGTAATGGGGGCATTTTCACTTCATCCCCATTCTCTAAAATGCCTGAGCTAAACTGTTTGGTCCAGTATTAAGGCTTTTTGTAATGAGAGTGAAAAGTTCCCCACCCCTGTGTTCTGGGAAATGAGGTCAGTGCACCATGTTGTTCTGAATATAAATAAAGCAGAACAGTGGTTCTTACACAGATCTCTTGACATTGTGCAGGGGTTCTCTGGGTTCCATTTTTCTTTTTTTTATCTCAAGAAGCAGGGATCATGTGATCTGCCAGCCTAAAACATGGCTATACAATGGCAAACTTAAATATGAATGTAGGAGAGGACTAACTCAATGTGTTGGGGCTATAGTACAGAGATCTGTGAGAAGTTAAATAATGGAGAAAACAACACTGACTGAAAGTAGAGGTGAAGTAAGAGGAAACTTTCTACATTCCAACACAAAGATGCCTAAAGAGTTTGGTGTGGAATGGTCATCCTGGCTGGATATGAGCTAACCACAGACTGTCTTGATTGAAATGTGGCTCTTTCATTGCTGAAATAGTGTATCCTGTACTAAAAAGCTTCCAGTCTAGAGACACAGAACTCGAAGTGATATTGTGGAGCAGGTACTATGTTTCTTTCTGCTATTTATTTATTTATCATTTCAGGAGCAAACCAAACAGTTGTATTGTATTAAAACACACACACACAGTTTGAAACCTTGGCATTCTATTAAATGTCCTTTGACCTGTAGCTGGCCACTTGGAGTGCCTCTAGTGTTGCTATAAGAAGGTCCTCCATTGTGCATGTGGTGGGGCTCAGACTGCATTGTAATAGGTAATCTGTGGTTTGCTCTTCTCCACACTCGCATGTCATGGACTCCACTTTGTAGCCCCATCTTGTGGTGCCAGAGCTCAGTACTTCCAGTCTAGAGACACAGAAGTCGAGCTATATTGTGGAGCAGGTACTATGTTTCTTTCTGCTGCTAGTTGGCTCATAAGTGAACGTGTTACATTCTACCACCATCTGGTGGTTTGAGTTTGAAATGCCTTCATACTTCAAGGCTCATGCTGTATATGCTGAGCAGAAGGCTCAGTAAATAGTAGTCAGACAATATTGTCATTTGGCTGTATGGAAGAAAGTAGAAGTTTTGTGACTGTTTGCAACTCCCTCTGGTATAGCTTTACATGCTTTTTTGGTCAGATTTTCCTTTTCACATTCTGGGATTCACAATGCACAGAGACCACTCTGCTAGTTTTGTAGTTTGGGGAAGGCTTGTGCATGAAGTGTATGTTTCTTAAATGCTTTCTATCTGTTCCTGCAGGCTTTGCACCCGAATGTTTAGCTGACAATGCCATTGAAGCCAACATGAGAAGGTGAAAAGGGAAAGTACAAGTAAATAAGATCCTATTTTTTTAGGATGGGGGGGAAGGATGACTCAAGATGGCACCAAGGTAAGAGATGCACTCTACAGCTGTGTTTTTAAGAAACCAGACTTCTTTGAGAAATGACAACAGTATAATGGACTCAGAATGTATGTGTTTGGGTGACAGGGTCTCAAAATCAGTTGCAGAGCTGTACTGGATAATGTTGAGAATCAACAAATCCACTGCATTATCTGTTCAAGAATGGTACAAGTGAGCTAATCTGTTGCAAAAATAAGGCTTGCTTCAGTAGGCCAAAAGCATGAAATACCTACAAGAAGGATCTATTTATCGTTTCAACCAGAGGAGTACTTCCCGTATTTTACTGAGATGTATACTTTCAAGTTAAAGAAGCCTGAAATGATGCATTTGAGAACTGTTGCTAAATTCAATTGCAAAAAAATGTCAGGGGGTGAGATGAGAACCATGACTGTTGTATTCATGAAGTGCTCCATACTACTGAATTCCTACTGCACTCAGGTTCTTCTTGTAAAATTATCATAGGCATGTTGTTGGCTATGTATGATCAGAATATGCAACTTGACAGACCAGTGTCAGCTACTACAGTTTCTTATTATGTTCTTTGCACAGAATTTAACATTGAAATATATTTTATCCTAAACTCCTAAACTCAACTGTAAGAGCCTGGAATTGATTTGCTGAGTGAAGCAATCTTAAGCTCAATGCAGTCTTTAAACACAGACACAGACACACACACACATATAGATCAGAATTAATATTTGTGAAAAGGAAAAACATTTCCTATAAAATTGTTTCCAACATTTCTTTCAGTAGCTATAGCTGTGCATCTAAAACCAAACAATAAAAATGTGAATAAGTTGCGTGAGATATTTTACATAATGAAAAGATACTATAATATTGGAATCAATGTAATTTAGATTTCTTTTCCTCTATTTCTTTTAGTCATACACTATTGTTCAAATTACTACATCTTGTGTCTAATCATCTATTAAGCTGTGAACTCATAGACATTTATACTAAATAGCCAACACGGTGTAATGTTTTGTGTGCTGGACTTGGTTCTATGAGGGATCAAAATTTCAATCTCTGCTCAGCCAAGGATATATATTTAATAACCTTGGCCAAGTTGCACTTTCACAGTCTTAAAAGACAGCAAATGGCAAACTTTCCCCAACAAAACCTTGCTAAGAAAACTCCATGATAGCCCGAAGATCGCCCTGTTGGATATGACTTGAAGACACATGACAGCAATAACAAATGAATACTAACCTGCTTTGAATAATGCATAATAACTGCCCACTGCAGTTGCTCTGTAGTACAGAAGTGGTAGTTGAGCTCAAAGAATGCCAACCTATGATAATGAAATAACATAAATAAAGGCAATATAATAGATAAACTTCAAGTAATATTCGAAAGTAAAGTAAACCCAGTCAATACATTGTACATACTTAAGGACAACATCCTGAACATCTGTGAGTGTTGCTCCAATACTCTTTAACAACAGATTTACAGACTGAACTGGAATCAGCTCCTTACGTTTTTCTTCCTTGTTGCTATCTTCTCCCCCAGTGCTGAGTGAAAAACTTAAATGTAACTGAAAGAAAATAAAATTGAAAAGATGGAGAACCTCCACAGTATTTTAAGTAGCATCCTGGTACTTTTATTGGTGGTTATTGTTCAGTCACTTTCACTTATTTTCAATCCTATCAATTTATTTTAAAAGTGAATAAATCTGAGAGACAATATTTATTTGTGTGGTGGTTTGAGAACTGGACTACAACTCTGGACACATGGGTCTGAATCCCTGCTCAGCCAAGACAATCCACTAAATGACTCTAAGCAAGTCTCACACTCTGAGCCCCAGAGGAAAGAAACAGCAAACTCCCTCTGAAGAAACCTTGAAACGAAGGCACACAACAACAAACCTGGCAATCAGCACATTGCCCTGCTCTGCTGGTGACTTATTTGGACTATAAGTAGCAGAATCATGTGCTGCTCTGCAGTATGGGTTCTCTATTTATCATTTATACTCTCATCAGCTTGTGCCACAAATGACTAATGTAACGAATTGCTAAACAGCAATGTAAAATGAACAGGTTTCTTACCTCTAACTGTATTTCTTCAAATGGTCTTCTGTGAATTCACACAATTGGGTATTCTTTCAAATACACAGAGCATTGTTTGGAACCTTCTAGAATCACTAGGCAGAAAGGTTTTGGCAGTAACCCAGCCCACCATCCTGAGGATATATAACGCCCAGTTGACATCGAACCTCCTTAGTTCCTAGGCTGCAGCTATGGACCATTGTGAAATCTGAGGTGGCATGACCCTGTGTGCGGAAAATGGGCGGGACTGTATGAATTCACAGAAGACTACTCGAAGAAATACAATTACAAGTAAGCAACCAGTCCTTCTTCATGCCCTCTGTGAATCACACAATTGGGTGACTAGCAAGCACCCCTGACAGATGGCCATCCAGCCTCTGTTTAAAAGCTTCCAAAGAAGGAGCCTCCATCACACTCCGGGGCAGAGAGTTCCACTGCTGAACGGCTCTCACAGTCAGGAAGTTCTTCCTCATGTTCAGATGGAATCTCCTCTCTTGTAGTTTGAAGCCATTGTTCCTTGTCCTAATCTCCATGGAAGCAGTAAACAAGCTTGCTCCCTCTTCCCTGAGGCTTCCTCTCACATATTTATACATGGCTATCATATCTCCTCTCAGCCTTCTCTTCTTCAGGCTAAACATGCCCAGCTCCTTAAGCCGCTCCTCACAGGGCTTGTTCTCCAGACCCTTGATCATTTTAGTCGCCCTCCTCTGGACACATTCCAGCTTGTCAGTATCTCTCTTGAATTGTGGTGGCCAGAATTGGACACAAAATTCCAGGTGTGGTCCGTCTCGCGGTTTAACCTATTACGCCACCACAGCTCTATAACTGGAGGTGAAGAAGAGGTTTGGAGGATCGCTCCCATAGGGGGTAAAGAATTGAACTTGATGACATAGCTGAATTCGATTGTATTGAGTACTCAGCAATTGCCAGTGATGTTTTACTAGGCAGGAACGAATCTGCTCATAAGTGAGGGGTCAAAACGGTGTATTGGATTGGCAGCATTAGTGGTGTTACAGTGGAAGAAATGTCTCTTTCTGTCAAGTGTGAGTTAGTCCTTACAACGCTGCCGGTCAGCTGACCTCGAGCGTTGGCAATATCTTTGAGTTGGACCAGGCTGCCTTTCTTGGGTAGAAGGCTACTGGCAAAAGGATGGATGACTATTGGACTTCTGAAAGGGAGGCGCTGAATGACTCTGGGCATGTTGGGAGCTGTGCCATTGGCCTTGAAAGGAAGGGTAGGACTGATTTAATCCGATACTTCCTCGCTGACAACCTCATCTTCTGATTATTCTTCAATTCTGAATTTGTAGACTCATTAAAAAGCCCCGCTTTGTTGAACAGTAGATTCTCAATTACTGTTCTTGATGCCAACAACCAACTGGAAGAATGAAACCAAGCATGGCACCAAATCACAACAGCATGTGCCATCATTTTCCTACTGTGTTGGCAGTATGCTTAGAGAGTTGAACATGGTGATGAATGAGTAATAGGGCTTCCAACCTGAAGGTAGAAAGGGCTGTTTTCACCTCATCATTTAAACGATTGAAGAAGGGAGTGACGGAGTTCCATAAATGTTTTTGATAATTTGATAAAAGCACCATAAATGGAAAAACATGCTATCAGGGCCACCCTAGAATAGACCTTTCTGCTAGTGATGTCCATCTTCTTTCCCTCTTTATCATCTGGAGCCATGTGCAAATGTTGGCTCGGTCTTAACTGAACTTCACTTACTATGATGGAATTGGACTTCAGATGGTTTGACAGTCAGGGGAGGCCAGATTCATCGACACAGTATCGGTATCAAGTTTCTATCATTTGGGATGTAGGAGACACCGACAGTGGGTCACACCAGGATGACTTGTATCAAGTATGTGGAAAAGGAAAGGTATGCTGGCGAAGAAGCGGCCCATTTGGCATCACAAAATAGCATGTCACCAACCAGCTGTGGCAATTGTTTAACTTCAAGGTCCAAGGCTGTGGCCATACACAACACTTGGTCTGTAAACTGTCTCAAGTCATCAGTCGGGGATGGGATGTTGATATTTGAGATCCTCGGTTCCAAGGATGTGTCCAGGAAGCAGTACCCCAAAGAGGCAAAGAAATCAACCTCCAACTGGGGGGAGTGGGGGGGGGGGGAAGAAACATAGTCATCATCTAGAAAATTATCATCTACCGAGTGGATTGACCTCGCAGGAGAATCATACCCACTGGAGGTGTATAAGGACCCCTGTCTAGGAGGGGAAGTTGGAGGTCTCACTAGTCTATATTCACCTTGGTGGTGTGGCAAGACCATTTGGAGCCCTTTTGGACTAGACATGTACCGGTTCAACCAGCCCAGTGCTGTAGTGAGGTGAAACTTCTTTAATCTGTCCCTCTAATGTGAGGATTGGTGGTTCTGAATCTTGGCCTGCCCCCTGGGTCTCTGGTACAGTTGCTGTCAGAATTAGTGGTTCATTATGGCGAGCCTGTGATTCGGCCCGCTTAACTGCCCTTTTCTTCTTGGCCTCCTCAGTCTTACAGGCCTTTTTTTGGGGCTCCTCAGCTTCGTAATCCTTCTCGGGAGTCGGTGGCTTCTCCGGGAAAGAAGTTGGCTCCTTTGACTTGGTTTTCTAAAAATGAGACGTCAACGCCAACATGAACATGTGAGTGAAAGGGTCTGCTGATACAAAGAAGAGCAAAGACTTGCTTTTCTATTTTTCACACCTCAGGCACGAATGCTTGGCAGCAGATACAAGTGTGGACAAAATGGCCCAAACAGAGGAGGCACTTGGGAGTGTTCATCTGTAGTGGCCAATTTGTTCGAACATTCTAGACTAGGCCAACAATATATTCATAAAATGAAGTTGGAAGCAGAAGTAGGAACGATGAGCCACTGACTGCAAGAAATCAGAAAGCTAACAAAAATTCAGAAAAAGTCACTACCAATGAAGATTACAGAATGCAACAGGAAATATTAACAGCTGAGAACGGGTTTGACGAGTAGGGTTCCTGAACCAGCTGGAGTGTGGATGAAAGGAACGGAGGGGTTTTGGCAGCAACCGGGTCTTATATAGTCTTGATATGGTGGGCAGGGTTATTGGTTAACTCAGTGCAATAAGTGTAATGATTGAAGGACTGGCAATCTGGACGACGAAACTGGATCACGATTTTAGTCAAGAGATGAATTGGATTGTTTATTGATATATGTATTGTGGATTATGTTTTTATGCTTTTAAACTGTATACTGTTGTTTGCTATAAGTTGTTGTAAACCGCGTTGAGTCGCCGGCTAGGCTGAGAAACGGCGGTATACAAGTATAGCAAATAAATAAATAATAAAATAAATAAATAAATAAATTGCCAAACCTACCTAGTGATTCTAGAACAGTGGTTCCCAATCTTTGGGCCTTCCGGGTGTTTTGGACTTCAGCTCTCACAGTTCCTAACAGCTGGAAAGCTGGATGGGATTTCTGGGAGTTGAAGTCCAAAACACCTGGAGTCCCAACCATTGGGAACCAAACAGTGGTCTGCATATGTGTGAGAATACCCAATTGTGTGATTTACAGAGACTATAAATAAGAAACTACGTTCTCTCCATCTGAAAAAATAGTAAAACTGGAAGTGGAGGCACTCAATCAACCAACAAATAATGGAAAGGATTTGTTAAATGTGACCTAAAGACTCTAGAAATAGGTATGTCTGATTGCCACTTACTTGAACCGATTTTCACAGACACATTACAACAGACTACAAGTATTAAACCCATGTATTTTGAAACATCTACCAATTCAAGTTTGAAGAGCACACTGAGTAACACTGGCATGAGAGCTAGATTTGTGAATCCGTTCTTACATGCAGGTCATGGCCACACAGTGCCTGTACAGTATCCTTGGCATGCTTCTATGCAGATCCGATTGGCTATATTTGTGAGAATATGGACTGCCACACTGGTTTGGGTACTGTACTTTATCCAGGTGAAGTAATATATCACATATCAGTTGCCTGAAGTAATGTTTCAAATAGCTGACATAAACACATATGCAAACACTACATTTATGACATGTACATACCTTAATTGGAGATATATGAAAATACTCATATAAACTGATTTGTGATGTATCAGTTGATGACACATTTTTCAGTTCTTCCTGCACATATTCTACATCCTTTTTGAAAAGTTCTATCTGTAAATGTATAATAAAAATTTATAACAATATTCAAAGCAAAAAAAACCCTTTATAGCAAATGTACACAAATGCAGGTGGAGCACCCTCTATCCAGAAATCTGAAATACTGCAAAGTTGCTCACATGGGTGGCTGAGATAGTGACACTTTTGTTTTCTAACGGTTCATTGTACACAAACTTTGTTTCATTCATATAATTATTTAAATAATTGAATAACATTACCTTTGGGTTATGTGTATAAGCTGACTATGCAACAAATTGTGGGTTTAGACAAATTTTAAACCTAATTCCTCTGAAAGAATTTTCATTAGTGTATCTTCTTGGTCTGACAGATAAGTTTCTTGATTTCTCACTACATTTCCTATCCGCTTCTACTATTGTTCCCTAATATCTCATCTCTTACAGTATTCAAGTTTTTATTTGTCTACATTTCTCATCACATTCTGTGTGCAATTTATTTATTTAATTAATTTGGATTATTAGATATGTCTAAATTCATTAATGCCAGGTTACTCAGCATATTAGATTTCATTAAACACACTTAAAAATTAGTCAAATTCATAAAATCTATTACATTTATGTTACTAATTTGTGAATTTCCTTCCTTAATATGCCTCGTTTGTGAACTTTCTACTGGTCCTACTAATCTAGCTTTCAATTCTGCATTTATCTTCTCTTTTATTAAATCTTTTATGTTACTCATTTCAGAGAACTGAGTGTGCTAAGATTACATATGAAACAAAGTTCTGACTGGAAAACAGTATATTTTCAACAGGTAAACTTGTTCTTTTCAATATTGTATACAACTTGCTTGCATTTCAGCTCCACTAGATGGAATGCCTCAATTAGCTTCCCCCGTTTCAAACTGAAATGGTTTGTTCCTGCTCGATTACCAATCAAGCCTCCTGTCTGCGCCTTCACATGATACTTATATGCCCATTTGCATCTCTAGCTGCAATACTGTCCCTTGCCCAACATTTTAAGATGCTGTCCTGAAGCAATGCTGAGGTACTTCAAACGCTGAGGAAATTTATTTCCCAAGTAAATAAATCTGGTATGTCTGCTTGCTTACTCTTGTATTTATTTTTCTTTTTCTTTCCCTTCCTAGCTAATTTAAGTTCTTTCTGTTGTCTCTTATGGTCAATGATGAGGCTTCATCTAAAGCCTCATCGTTAGATTCAACTCGCAGTGGCAATTTTAAGGTCAACTGAGTCACTCACTTGTCAAAAATATTTTTCTTCGTACAGTTTCCAATGCCAGATCAACAAACTGCATTATTTTTAGTTGTGTATTGCTTTGTGATCTGCTGAGGAGCTCTACATAGGAGCTCAGCAGCTGGTTTATTCAAATCATCATCCACCTGCCTTTTCATCTGGCAGCTAGCATATGAAGAGCACTATCAAGAATCACACAATCAGGTATTTTTCTCTTTGTCTTTAAGATTTTATTTTGCATTTTTATAAATATTGATAGTGTAGGCAAGAAATTAAAACTGAAGTAGAGGAACATCCGTGTTCTTAAAATAATTTGTTTTCTGCCTTGACCTAATAGCACATGAGGATAAAACCGTATGCCATCGATTGCTCCTTCAGTTATCCAGAGAATAAGGCTTCTCAGTCTAATTCACTTTATGCCTCTTTCATTCCATACCTGACAGTTCTAAGGTGGATTTGCCAAATCTGAAGTGGAGACTGATTTTATATAGGTAAGATTAAATGTACTCTTTAAAAGATTGAACTGGTTGACCAAAGTGTATGTCTGGTGCCCTGGTATACAACAAAGAATTTCCAGGGGCACTGAGGAATAATTTGCCTCTTGCTTTTTAACTTCACTCAGTTTTGTCCTCTTGGTTGCTGCTGCATAAGAAGCTGTTTATGCTGTACAGCAGTGACCATCATGATGGAAGCTGTTGACACTTCTTCCTTTTTTTCCTGTGGTGTGAGGTGAGATAGGAGCAGCCTGTGTCCTGTTGCTAGAACTAGACATTTACACATATATCTTGGCTCAGGACTACTTCCATAGATGCTTCTTCCTTCACTCCGGATTGGGACAACAGCTGAGCATGTGGCTGAGGTCTTTAAATTTGATTTAAAATTTTCTGTACATAAGAAACCTGGTTTATAAACATTCCAGAAAAACAATTCCATAATTCATTTTAACCACAAGATACATAACATCCAGCACACATTATGTTTTATTATTGAAGATATCCGTGAAGTGATAGTAGTTCTTACCTCTTGGTCTTTGGGTACCTCATCAGCAAGTGTAAAAAAATCAGCCAAAGCATTAAGGAAGCCAAGATCCAAGCGGAGATCCATTTCTTGAATTAAGACTTTAAAATATCTGCAAAGGAGTTTAAAAACAATTGAAACTCTGAACAACCAGAACAAATTAAAACATGTGCAGATCAGTGTAAAATTATTGTAAAATCGTAAAGGTCCGAAAGACCTTGACAAAAAGCTGCTTTAAACACAGCATCAGAAAGAAACCAGAATCAGCTCTCCAAGGGCAAGGAATTCCACAGCTGGGAAAATCACAAAAATATTCCCATAGTTTTATACAAGGTGTTATTCCTAATGGTGAACTTAGATGAGAGCCTTTACATCAGCCCTTGGGTTTTCAGGTAAGAGAATATAGGAAGAGATACTCCTGCAAACACGGAGATTCCAAGCTAATTAAGGTTTTAAAGCAATGTGAATTTAGGCTGGAAATCATATTACAAACCAGTGGAATTCTTTAAAAATGTGTTACAATAACTGCTTTCTATCAAAAGTTCCAGTTAGCAATCTATCTATAATGTTTTGCCCTAGCTACAGTTTCTAAAAGTAATAGAGTTGTACTTACTTTATACGTGATATCTGAGAATGTCCTGCAGTTCTTATGACAATACTGACATCAGTAAATGGTTTAGGTTCTATGGAAATTTTTAACAAAAAAAGTAAGCAGGGTTGGCACTTGCTCTTTTATGCTTTATTGAAATTATACTCCACCTTCTCCCAGAATGGGACCCAATGTGACTAACAATAATTTAAAACAATTCAATAAAAAAAATATTTTACAAGAGTTGAAAAAGCATAAAACAATAGTATTATTTTTAGTTAAAATACAATTGAACCAAAATGTTAATAAAAAATAACATTGAATCCAATATTTTTCCATTTGCAAAGGATATAATGAAAAGGTAGTAAAATCAATGGTCTAAGGTGGCAAGAACCATATATGAAGCATATATGGGAGGAAATGAAATTAATTTCTAAAATGGGGAACGAGAGGTTTATACTTACCATGGAGGATCATTCTAGAAAAACAATCCACAACCATAGGGTTAATCCCTTGTGTGAGAAAATCAAGGCAGGAGACCAAAATTCTAAACTGTTTTATCCTTACTCCCTTTGTTTACTTCTTCAATTCTGCTACACAGCCTTGCAACATTAAAGCCACTGAGATTTAGGCTGAAATCTCCTTGGTTCACTGAGCTACAGAGAAAAGATGATGCCAGCAGTCACCACTGCCCTGAAGGTCCAGGATATCTCAGAGTTTCCAACAAACTCCAGAGTATTGTCCAACTTTCTCAAAAGCAGAATCAAGTAGGTTGAAAGTCACTACGTGTTGTGGCAAGAGCCAGAAGCCCATTGGGTTTCTGTAGACAAGCCCCAAATGTTCTGATACTACCATAATTGCCAACTATCTATGGCCTATAAATAAATTATTGTAATGGGATAGATCTATAGAATAATTATTGGCAAGCTGGCAAGGCAGGAGAAGAAAAACTCAAGAAGGGAGTAAGGATGAAATGGTTTAGAAATTTGGCCTTCTACCCTGATCAGCTGGAACAAGGGATTCACCCAGTGGTTGTGGATTGCTCCTTTAGCATTCTTGAAAATGCATTTCTACAAATATTTTCAATACCAAATTGAGTAAATAAACATATAATTTAACAAAATTACAGATATGTTATTTTTCAAATTCAAGTTATATTAGTTGCATGAATTTTGAAAGGATGTTTATGTTTATCAAAAGGACACTGCTCAAGATACTGAGTTTCGTTCTGCCATGATGCTTGCAAACATTGTAAGTTTTTCAAGCAAGAGTGGTCTCAGATGTGTGGAAAAACTTGTGAATCTTTCATTGCCCCAGCATAGGAATTCCTGGGGGAAAGATAAATGGCAGAACCAATGCTTCCCATTTAATCTAAATTACTTCCAGTGTTAGAATGACAATCATACCCATTTGTTAATTATAACAACGTCTGATTAATTTTAGCAATAAAAGACCAGGTCACTCAAATGAAATTATAAAAAGCAACTGTTTGAACAATAAACTATCAATAAGTTTCTGGCAAATTTAGCAAATTCAAGAAGAAATTATTAACAAAACTATTAACTATTAACAAAAATCACTTTATCTTTTAATATTACTATGAATGAGTTGCCCCTCAATCTTGCAAAAAATGATATCCTCCTATTTTATTACAAAATGTAGAAAAAAAGCATAAAAGGTGTTAAACAGTGTTAACAAACCTGAATCCAAGGAGATGGACTTGGGAGGTTTAATAGGATAGAACACAAAGGGAAATATGGCTCCAGGAATCTGGTTTTGTATCTGACAGGGGCAATGACAGGACAATATGATGCATGTTAGATATCCACTTGCAAATGTTTTTTTTAAACCCTAAATGTTTGACAAATGTCCTATCTTGCAGTTAGACTGGCTTCACATATGTTAAGGAGGAAAACAGAAAATTTTATTTAATTGAACTCAACTGTTAGTTTTTTTTGTTTTTTTACATTAAAGATTAAACTTTGAATTTAAGTACACCAAACATACATTATGTCTTAATCCAACATTTATATCAGAGAAATTAACACACTTCTCATAAACATCTGTTTTCACATACATCTTCCATCATTTGAAAATTCCAAATTAAAGAAAGTGTTAATTTAAAAAAAAAACATACAGGAATAACAATCACTGAAGGTACTACAGAGAAAAGCTTGAAATACTAACTGCAGGGATTAAGTGAAAAGCTGAATAAAAAATCTACAAAATATGTTTTTGTCTTTTTTATTGTATCAAGGTAAGGGCTTATTTTACTATTCACTTTTAGTAATTACAAAACATACCTGTATTCTATATATCTGGACTCTGAAGGACGATTGGTGTTCAGATGTACTATATTGTACTTTTAAAGCTGGTAAAAAACTTCTTCGCACTGGGATTTCTGATGGCTGTAGTATTTTCATGTTATTACCAGTGGGAGTCAAGCAGACCTGTTTGTTTGTTTATTTTTAAAAAAAATCAAATCTAAATCATTTTTTTAAAAACAAAGCATTAAAACACAGTCCAGTGAATTTTAAACACTTTTAGGTTTCACCAGTTTCAGCTGAAAATATTTTGAAATTCTAAGGGAAATCAATCATACTTAAAATGTATTCAAACCTGTGATGGCACATGGTTATCTACATTTTTAAAAAGTAGATCATTAATAGCGTAATCCTAGATATGTTTGTTGTTGCTGTTGTTGCCTTCAAGTCATTTATGACTTACAGAGATTTTAAAGTGACCCTATCATGGGATTTTCTTGGCAAGATTTGTTCAGAGGAGGTTTGCTTTTTTGCCTTCCTCTGAGATTGAAAGAGTGTGACTTGCCCAAAGCCTCCCATTGGGGTTCCGTGGATGGGGAACGGGGCGGAATTTGAACCCTGGCATATAGAGCTGTAGATGAACATGTGTACAGCATAAAAAGAGTCATGTTTCCTGACCCTGTCAAAGTAAACCTGGGGAAAAGGTTGTTTATGCCTTTAATAATAAATTGATAATCAATTTACTAAAGTTTACACAACAGTTTTGTGTAACTGTTTTACAACTGAATTACACATGAGTAAAATTCCTCTCAGAATTACCGGGATGTTATCATCTAGATCCACTATTTTATCATCTGTCGGTGAGTGATCACAGTATTCATTAAATTCTTTCTCCAGCTTTTCAGTTTGCTTCAAACTCAGTGGTCTCCATCTTGACTTCTTCTTGGGTTTTGCCTCCCAAATTACATCCGAACTGTAATAGAATAAATAAAAGTAGAGATTATATGCAGTCTTCAATAATAACAAAATTATCATGTTATTACCCAGTAAGGAATGACATTTCAGCAGGCCTTTGAGCTTCTGAGTATTTAATTTTGATAGAAGTTCAAAAATGACTTCATTATACCATTATACCAGCAGACAAGAGTCTTTTGTCTCACCCTGGTCATTCCACAGATATTCCAATTGCAATTCCAATTGCAACATTCACACTTGCCTCAAGTAGACAAGAGTTCTTTCTCCCGCCCTGGTCATTCCACAGATATATAAACCCTTTTTCCTAGTTCCAACAGACCTCACTACCTCTGAGGATGCTTGCCATAGATGCAGGCGAAACGTCAGGAGAGAATGCCTCTAGACCATGGCCATATAGCCCGAAAAACCTACAACAACCCAATGATTCCAGCCATGAAAGCCTTCGACAATACATTTTAAAAACTGTTTTAGAAAACTAATGCAGGTTGAATATTCCTTAACTGGAAATCTGAAAGGTTCCAAAATATTTTCCAAGGTCTTAAACCTTCTCTGTCAAAGAGTGCTGGTGCCTCATCAAATTACAACTCCCATGATTCCACGGCATTAAGCCATTGCTGTTAAAGTGAGATGAACCTGCATTAATTCTACAGTGTTGATAACACCCTGAGATTGTGGTATTTTTACTTTCTGATGGTTCAATGTACACAAGCCTTATTTTATGTGCAAAATTATTATTAAAAATATTGTATGACATTACTTGCAGGCCATGTGCATTAGATATATATGAAACATGGTTAAATTTTATGTCTAAACTTGGGTCCCATCTACAAGATACCTCATTATGTATATGTGAATATTCCTAAATATGAAAAAACCCGAATTAAAAAATTTCTGATCCTAAGCATTTCAGATATATGATATGCACCCTACACCTAGTTTAAAAGAATTTACATGCTAAATCATCTTAAACAAGTCCATTCATAACCTTCCATTACAAAAGAGTAATTAAATTATAAATATTGTAAATATTTTACCTTGTGATTCCAATATAAACTATTTCCTGCTTGAAATAGTTATCTACTAAAGAGATGCCAACATCTTGTAAGGAGATAATGATTTCTTGTTCTGCTAATTCAACTTTTTCACTTTCATATGTCACTTTGAAAACCTTTTCATCTTCAGTGAATAGGATAATACGCTGCAATCCTTCAAAAAATGAAACTAAATATATTTGTTTGTTTCCCACTTGGATAGGTGTCATTAAATCCTAGAACAAAAGATAAACGAAGTTTCATTTTCAGAGTTACAGTGTCAAATCCTATATATTCTGTATTTACTCAAATATAATGTGCAATTGTAATGCACACCTCAATTTTGAAGGTGTGCATTGTGGAAAAAAAAGATGTTATCTAATGTAATGTGTGGATCGCCTTTATTTGTCAGCCGTTCTGCTGCCCACCTTGGAATAGCAGGGGGAAGCCATGTCCCTCCATCAGGCTGAACGACAGCTCCCCAAGTAAGACCGCACACAAGAGGCCTTCAGAACCAAGGTGGGATGGCATACTGAAGGCCTCATGAATGAGTCCAGTTGGGAACCTGACGAAGGGGAGTAGGTGGGTTTACCTGTATGATTTTAATGTGCCATCATAGCGAATGTGAACCTCGCTTTGGGTTAGCCAAAAAAGGTGGGCATTCAATTTGAGTAAATATGGTACTTATAACCCAATGGTTTTTCAGTTTTCTCTGCAGTATTCTCTATTGTACATATATGTATAATTCATTCTACGGATAACAATGATAACACTAAAATAATATACTATTCTAACGCAGAAGTATCATCAACTACAAAATAAAAACAGCGATATGCTAAAAATTAGAAAAAGATGCACGTGTGTCTTACACTTGTGCAGAGCTACAATCAGAACATTTTAGAGCCCAGCAGGAGCCCCATTCAACACTGAAGAATGAGAGACCATGATCAATATCTGCAACAAGTTTGATACTGAAAAAGTTGTTGGGGCTGGGATCACATTTAAACAAGTTGCTGAAGGACCAATTCAGTTCTCAAATGTATTTTTGGATATAAAGAAGGGAGAGGAGGAGATGAATCTTGTGAAGATTTCACAAGGGAAGGTTATTAAACAAAACAGTAGTACTTAATGGCTTGTTCTAAATCACTGGTTCTCAACTCTCAGTGGCCTTCAACTCTCAGAAATCCTAACAGCTGGTAAACTGGCTGGGATTTCTGGGAATTGTAGGTCAAAACTCTTGGGGACCCACAGGTTGAGAACCACTGTATGATCTCAACTGCCACTTTGTATGCTTCCCAACTGCTAAGTAAAGGCAATCTGCCCCTGCTTGGTAAAGTCTTTATGGATAGAACAGTTTTGTACACTATGGCTGTGGTCGAGATGTTTATGATTGTTTATGTAAGGGGACATTCTTTCCTCTGGAGCATTTATAGAGCTTGAATAACTTCCTAAAAGCCATACAAACTCCAAAGCAAGTCTATTCTTGCTTTCAGTTTCTATTACTGAATAAAAGGTGGCAATGGAAGATAAAATGTAGTGGAAGATAAGAAAATAGAAAATATTTCTCTTGATGCAACTCACATGGCTAATGAAAAAGAATCAAGGAGAAGGCACTGATGCATGGCTAGACATCTGCTATGAGGGATGGGAACAAAACTATTCAATTGAAGATCTGGGCAGGTGCAAAACCCAGATATTAAACCACAGAGACCACAAAGAAGATAATTATGCTAAAAGTTGTTACATAGTTTAAGTAATGTATTACATTAAGAGTTAAAGTCATACATACATCTTTCTGTGTTATTTCTCCACTGTTTTTTCCACATTTCCATTTCAATTTTCTAGAGCCTACTGGGTCAGCCCATGTGTAAAGCATTCCTTTATTTGGTTCTAAAACATCTTCCATTACACAGTGTGAGCTGAAAATAAAACCAGGAAAATTGTGGTAACTCACAGGATATAACACAGTGAAATTTGATACCTATATACTGAACATTTTAAAAAGAAGTTTATATTAAACAGTCTAGAAAAACTGGACTGAAATCTCCTTATATCCATCATTAATATTCCCTGTATAGTTTGATATACATAAAAAAATATACATACCTTTGCCCGTATTCAATCATTTCTTCTTTGGTATGATTAATTATCAGGAATGGTGCTGCGCCATCATGGTAATCAGAAAATGTAATTGTTGTTGAATGCTCTGCTGGTGTAATATCCACAATAATACCTCCAAGCTAGCAGATATTAAAAATATTTTATATTTCATTTTATTCATTTGTTTAACTTATCACAATTATTTTAATTTCAAAAGCATAAATAGTTCAGTAAAACATTTTAAATGTGTAAAATATTCATCTGAATTCTTAATACAGTAACATTCAGTTCTTTAGAGAGGGAAGACATAAGAGTGGGAAAACACAATTACAATTTGGTATAAACAGAAAACATTACTACTTACTGTGTTGTTTAAGTGCAGCAGCAAACTATTTTCTTGCTTATCATACTGGATAATTTTGGGTGGAAGATCAGAATTCTCTACTTTAACACGAAATTTTCTTTCATTCTTTTCAGGCCAAAAAGGAATACACTGGGGAAGGAAAATCATATATTTGTAAAGGAAATACATAACAGAACTCGACTTGCAGTCATCTATTCTTGTTAACTGAATTTCAAGTAATATAAGCATATAAATACAAATAAATCGTAAACAGATTTATGAGCCAATTATCAAATATCATTTTACTATAGGAAACATAAAACAAGAATGTTAATAATCAGGTACATTTCCACCTTTAGAAATCCTAATTTCTAAATGCTAGATTTATAGTAGAACTGGTAGTCCATGGCAGCTCTTTGTTCTTCCTTCTTCTTTTTATTTCTCAGGAAGAGAGGGAGGATGGCTGGAGGCTGCCAGCAGTATGTAGTAGAAAGTGCAGATGGGAGAGAGGGCCAAGGCAAGTGAAGTGGCAGAAGAATGAACTGCTTACCTGTAACCATGTTTCTTCGAGTGGTCATCTGTGAAATTCACATGTATGGGTTTTTCGCGCATACTCAAATAGTTTGGGACCTTCTAGCAGTTACGAATTGAAAGATTTTGGTGGTAGCCCCACCCACTCTCCTTGATAGTATATATATATCTAAGGTGGGGCTTAAGCCTCAGTTCCTCAGCTGCTAGAAGCAGCCATGGATACAGAGGCATGACTCGATGTAAGGAGGAAGGGCGGGGATATGCAAATTTCACAGATGACCACTTGAAGAAACATGGTTACAGGTAAGGAACCTGTTCTTCTTCGTGGTCTCTGTGAAATCGCACATATGGGTGATAGCAAGCTACCAGCCCTGGTGGTGGGTGATGCCAAGGCTGAAAAAGCACAGCCCTCCCAAAGGTGGCATCCTTCCTGGTGACAGAATCCAACTTATAACGGGCAACAAACGTAAGTGGCATGTACCACATCACTGTCCACCAAATATCTTCCAGAGGCACACCATGCACAAAGTCCTTAGATGTAAAGGCAGCTCTAAGCGAATGACCTTTAAGGCAACGGAGGAGATCCTGACCTAGGAGCTGGTAGGGAAAGCAGACTGTGGAGTTAACCCAGGATGAATTTTGCTGTGGTTTCACTAGGAGGCCCAGCTCATCCTGCCTGTACTTAAGAAAAAGCTTTGTGGATTTTCCGTATGTTCGAGTCCTGTGTATATGGAAGATGAGGGCTAGTCTAACACCCAGGGAAAGTAAATTCTTCTCTAGTGGGGTCAAGGGGTTTGGAAAAAAGCCGTCTTTCTTCCTGGCACCTAGGAGAACTGGAGATCACTTCAGAGAGAATTTCGATGTCCATACGAGAGACAACGTTATCTTTGTAGACATGAGTATAAGGCTCACCAGCTCTGAAGGCACAAGGTCCACTGGTACGGTGCGCTAAAGTTTTCCAGGAGAGGTAAGGCAAGTCTACTGAAGGGTGGTTTTATCAGATGTAATAAGACCAATTCTAAACTCTATGCCAGGAATGGAAGGCACCCTGGATGTGTGTGTGTGTGTGTGTGTGTGTCTGCATATTTGTGTAGCCTTCCAAGAAAGGGAAAATGAGGGGGTCAATGAAACAGGATGGCCGACCAGTTTTCCTACAATACCATGATATAGCTGTCAGGTAACATTTCAGGGGAGATAGGGCGAGCCCGATTCCAGATAATCCTATGATGGGTCCTTGTACTCCACTAAATCTGCTGCAGCTGGAATGGATTCAAGCTCATGGTGGCCACAGCAGTTGTATTCCCTCTCATAAGGGGTGTAACAGCCATCTGGTCTAGCCCAGTAACAGGGATGGGCAAAGTGCCCAGGCAAGGGGTCTATTCTATAGAGTCTGGGGAGGGGATAGAGAATGGTACTGGTACAAATACCAAGACTAGGAGGAGAAGTGCATGAGGGAGTGACCATGAGAGGTTGACCTAGAGCCCCTTCTGTAGGGATTGAAGACATCAACTGCAGTTGGGGTAGCGCTCTCAGAGAGAGTGATTCTCCTTGGTCTCACATCAGGCTCCTGAAATAGTTGTGGGAGGGGTAAGGAGTGGCTCCCTCTCCAATGGAGGGGCTGCTGTGGTTCCACAGGTGTGACTTGCAGAAACAAGATGGGATTGATTGAAGGCAATGATGGTGGGGATCTGTATTGTTAGCTTCTGGTACAGGCTGGGGATGGCGGGGGAGAGTGCCCCGGTGATGACGTTGCTTCAGAGTGGAGAGCCAAAGGCTTGCCGGCATCATATTACTTCTGCCTTTTTGCCCCTATCTTGAACTGCTTGATGTGGGCAGCAGCTTTTCCCAAGGAGGGAGCAGGCTGGGAGGGCTTGGATATTTTTGTCCTTCACTCATACAAGAGCGTCTTGAGACCCACAGCCCATCTGGGAGTAAAAGCCTAGTAGATGTGGCGGGCCTGAACCACATGGACCTCCCAAATCCAGGAGGCACATCGTGTGGCCATCTGTATTAGGCAATTTGCCTCTGCATGGCATGCCCTTTTTGAACAACGTCATGGAGCATATTGAGGCACCAATCCCGATTCTTGAGTGCCTGGGGGGGGGGGAGGTAAAAACCTGGCAGATGTGGCAGGTCTGAACCACATGGGTCTCCCCCAAACCCAGAAGGCACATAGCATGGCCAAAGGAAGAACTACCTTATCTGTTTAGGGTAAGGAGAATCCGTTAGACAACCGAGTCATAGCCAGGAAAACAGTAAACCAAAGTGTTGAGCCTAGGTAGTATTGAAAGGAGTGTCTGGAGTCAAAAGAAACGTAAAAAATATGAGCTAAAGATAGAGAGGTTCCTAAAACTGCTGCTTTTCCGCCAGACAAAAGGAACTGAGGCTTAAGCCCTGCCTTCTATATACATACTATCAAAATGTTTCAATTCATAACTGTTAGAAAGTTCTGAACTGTTTTGTATATGAGCAAAATAACCCATATGTGCAATTTCACAGAGACCATGAAGAAGGATTGAATGTGACTGTGGTGATAGCAGGGGATGGAGGGTGGGAGGAGAGTGAAGAGTGGCATATTGAGTATGAGGGCATGCTAGAGACTAGTGACAGTTTGCTGCTGAAGTTTGCTGGCAAATTGCGTAATTTCCTAATCACACCGCCAAATGTTAGTAGCAACTTCAAGGGATGTTGGGCCACAAATACGGGTCTGGGGACTACATGCAGACAGTGGGTTACATGTCCCCCAGACCTAATGGGTATATATTGTGTGATAATAAACACTATTACATTTTACTTGAACATAGAATCAGCGGAATTTAAAGGTATTTTTGAGAAGCTTGACTTTGTTGTCTAATATAACAATAATAATAATCATATTATCCCCGAAACAATTACCTGAATCCCCGAAACAATTACCAACCATTCAAGTCACTTTCCATTTCCACATCTTATTTTTGCCCAAGTGAGTACATATTCATGAAGTGTTAGGAGGACAGCATGTAAGGACATCCAATGGGTTAATTAATCCCTTAGTGATTTCTGATGAAAAGGTACATGCTAATGGCATGCTTTAAGGATTAATACAATGCTATTAAAATTTTGTTTCAAATCACAGCTATTTCTAAAAAAACAAGCTGAAAATTACTGAAGAAAAGAGAAATTCAGCCTGAATTTAAGAATTACCTGAGAATGCAGGTTTGCAATATAAGAATTGCCAAGAATACAAATGCAACAATTAAGAGACAGTTAATGAATCATGAAGAAACATTTCACACAAAACCACTATTATTTATGGAGGGAGATATAACTGGAATTTTAAAAAATAAATTAATACGTATGTTATGTAAAAGGTTTACCTGCTGTAAATGTATTGGTACCCATGTTTCATTGCCTTCTTCAGCTATTTCTAATGTAAGTGCACTTCTGTTTGTGATCATAAAAAAAGGAGTGAAGGTCACTATTCTAGTGAGATTAAAGCTGCTGTTGTTTATAGTGACACCAACCTGGAAAAGGAAAAAAAAAACCCTGTTAATTGCTCATCTGTCTTGCTCTTGTGATATCTACAGACTGGCATTTTTTAAAATAATCTGCTAGCATATTTTAAAGAAGACAAAAAAGGTAAAGTGAACATTGTATCACATATAACAGTGCCAGCTTGTCACTCTTTCTGTTCTCACATGAACGCTGGATTATTGGTCCACCTAGCATAGTATTATCTACAACCTCTCAAGGATTCAAACAAGATTGTTTTCCAGTCCTTCCTATATTTGGTGATCTTATGAATGAGATACCCCCAAGTCACAATGGCATCAACAGCTCTGCTTAGGCTTGGCAGACCCAAGGTCATAGCTTCCTTGACAGAGTCTATTCAGTTGTAATGTGGTCTTCCTTTTTTTCTACCATTTCTCTGTTTTTGCACCTGCTTCATTGACTTTCTTGTTCCCAACCTTTGGGCCTCCAGGTGTTTTGGACTTCAACTCCCAGAAATCCTAGCCAGCTTACCAGCTGTTAGGAACTGTGGGAGCTGAAGTCCAAAACACCTGGAGGCCCGAAGTTTGGCAACCACTGCTCTAAATTAATTGTTATGTCTTTGGTTTTTCTGCTAGCAGTATCTCTATATATAAATGATGTACTGTATTTTCCGGTACATAAGACGACTTTTTAACCCAGGAAAATCTTCTCCAAAGTCAGGGGTTGTCTTATACACCGGGTGTCACAGTACAGCATCAGTGGGATCCCTCGCCATCCCCGAGCGGTGCAGCCTGAGGAGGAGGAGGGAGGGCGGAGGGGTGGGGAGGAGCACCAGGCTGCGTTGCCACGGAGACCGGCCAGCGGGGTGGCCTACTGGGCTGTCTCTGTTGTTGTCGGCCTGGTGCTGGCTTCGTCTTGTCATAAGCCTCCCACAGAAGATGGCCCTCAAGCCTGGAGCCTGTCAGGTGGGCTTGGATGTGTGTTCCTCCCGGCAGAATTGGAATTGGACTAGATGGGGTCCCTTCCAACTCTAGGGTTTTATTATTATTGTTATTATTAAGCAGAGCAGGATGGCCACCTGTCAGGAGGGCTTGGATGTGTGTTCCTGTCTGGCAGAATTGGAGATGGACTGGATGGCCATTGGGGTCCCTTCCAACTCTAGGATTCTATTGTTGTTGTTGTTCTTGTTGGGGAAAGGATGTTGGACCTGGCCCTGGACTTACTCTAGGTAAGGTAAAGGTTTTCCCCTGACATTAAGTCCAGTTGTGTCCGACTCTGGGGGTTGTTGTTCATCTCCATTGCTAAGCTATCTAAGCTACCGGTCTGATAGTCTTGGGTTTGAAATCAAATCTGGTGATTTTTTTAAAAAAATTTCATTTGGTGTGCATTGGAAGAGGGGTAGTCTAATATGGCGAGTATATCTCAAACCCTATATTTTAACTGGAAAAGTTGGAGGTAGTCTTATACATCTAGTCATCTTATACGCCGGAAAATACGGTATATGCATTTAGGACTTTTTATGTTCAGAGTATATTCTGCAACTGTACTATAGCATTTCCATAACAAAGGGGTCCTTTGAATTTTTCACATAGGAGCAGCTCGCACAATAGCAGCAACAAAAATACTTTAAATATCTAAACATCAACTTTCTATTTCACTGAAGCATATTTGTGAGTAGTATTGATAATGTTTTTGCCATTCCTCTTCAGGGACTCTTTCATATTGTGCTATTCTAACATTTTTGAAATTGTGCCACCACTCATATATTACTTTGGTTAATTCTGTCTGCTAATGTGTTGGTCAGTGAATGTACCCTTTTCAAAGTCAATGAATATCCCTTTTCAGCAAAGCTATACTTTCTTAGAATCCCCTGAATTTAGTATTGTTTATTAGGCAAAACAAAACAAAAATGCTGCTGGAAAAAATGCTTTTTTAAAAACAAGTTTTGTTCTGGGAGACTGAAGAGAAGGACTCAAAGAAAAAGCAAAGAATAATCTGACCCATGTGCTACGTCAGTGTGACTTATCCAAGGTCACCAAGTGTGTTTCCACAGTTGACTGGGGATCTAAACCCTGGTTTCAACAGTTGTAGTCCAATGCTCAAACTTACCACCCTAGTATAGTTTACATATTTATTAATAGACAACTCTCAAAGAATTACATAGAACTGTGCTTTATGTACACATGTGCATTGCACTTGTTACAAATATGAATGTATTTGATTAAACTACTTACTTGGTAGACCTTTTTGGCCCCTTTACATTTAACAAAACCATGACTGCCGACTGTATCCAGAGAAAAGTGATCAGAAAGATCACTGTCTGTCACCATGAGCTGAACCTGTAAAAGGAGAACATCTATTATGCTGTCCTCATTATTTTTAAAAAACTGGAAAATAAATTTGGCTGTCATTTGGAAGATAACAATTTTCATTCTCTCTTCACACATACAGATGTTCAGATTTCAATGGGTACTGGACATGTTCTATCTTTTTTGGGTTGCAATTTTTTGCCTACATTTTTGTACTTCTGGAAACTTTAGGATTGAGTAAATTATATTTGTAATCTTTTTCTTGTTTCCCAGGAGCTCTGTTTTTGTTGTCATAACTGAGAACCTTAGTTTAACGTGCGAAAGCTATTTTATTTTGAAAGTTATTCAAAATAAAATTCAGTCTTAAGCACTGTGTTACACAGAATAGCCTTTCCTTTACCCCAAAGCACACGAGACTGGAAAATAATGCATTAGCTTGTGCTATTTATTAAACAACATTTTCAGTATTATCAATAACTTGCCAAAAGCCAATCTATCATTATGATCAGGGAATGTACAACATTACCTGCAGTACCCTGTTATATTTATTGTAAAATCCAAGACAAAAACATTCATGCTCTCTCTCTCACACACACACAACTACTAGTGGATGCACAAGCTAATTAACATAATTCTAATTACATACATAATTATTTGTCTGAAATTACCTTATTTTCATTGTAAAAATATTTAGGTTGGAAAGAAAAAAGAAGTGGCATTTTATATTCAGGTGGATGTTTTCGGTGAATACCATCAGCTTTATACTGTAGCATTCGACCAGTCTTATTTACCATCCAATATGGACTGTGAATCGCTACAATCACTTGTCCTGTGGCATATGTTACATGCACAGCAATATCCAATTCTAAGTTATCGAGGTCCGTAGTGCAGGAGAATGTGATGAAACCAATTTCTTCCTGATCTGTTTGGATTGGGTACTCTGCAGTCCAATTTTTATCTAGATAATTCAGTAATTGCAAGTCCAGCTTGGTCTCATCCAACACTGCATTATGAATCTGAGCTGAACATCCATCTTCCAGAGTGTTGCATGACATACTATCCCCCTTTGAAAAAAAATGTGGGATTCAAGTTACAACATGTTCAAAATATATGTATAGTTAATAATCTGATCAATTCAGTAAAAATGTCATACGAAATCCAAAGTAAATGTGGAAATTATCAATAATATTTTAAGAGAATTATCCAATAGACTGAAAAGTTAGCACAAAAGCGACTGCTTTGATTTAAACAGTAAAAACCTAAAAATGGAAAGGGCATGTTAACTGAAGACTGGTATTTGAATTTCCATTATTTTATTCCACTAAATATATTACCAGTATGAAGGCAAAAAAAACAAAACAAAACAAAACAAAAAAACAACAGCACTTTGCCCTCCTCATAACTGATCTGAGCTTTATAAGTATAAAACTCCATGATTTTTTGAAAATATAATTTTTATCAATTTCACCAAAAACTTTCTCTTGCTTTTTCATTTTATTTTCCTTACAATTTCACCCTCTTACCACCCCAATTTCTATGGTTTAATGATTTCCACATGGATCTCAGCAAATGAGCTTCAAAATTCAATTTCCTAGAACAGATTAAGATTCTTATTTCAGAGTAAAACAAAAAAAGGTCATGTAGACACATGGAATATCACAACTCATAGAAGTTATCTTTTAAACATTCTGGACTAATTAAAGAACATAACAACCACTAATTAAACACCAATGGGAATCAATAATTATAAACCAATGCACGTGTGATTTCTTTAATGAATCTATTTGTGGACTTTATGTGCAATTATCACTGCACTGAAAGACTATTTTAACTGCTATGTCAAAGAAGAAAAACTTCTTCTTCTGTAATATTTTTTTTAAAAAATCACCCCATCAAATGAGCACAAGTTGGTATACACTGCCCTCATTTTATCCTCGTAACAACCACTGGATGGTAGCTCAAACTGAAAGATAAGAATTTGCTCAAGGTCATCCCATGGGTTTCATGAGTTTCATAGTGGAGTCTTGAGTTTGAATCTCTCATTGCCAACACTATTATTTTACACAAAACATATCTAATGGGTCCACAATCATTTGTCTGACAGTATAGTAAATTAAGTCTGAAGTAATGTTTCACTGTTATTTTGAAGTACAATTAAAATTCAAAAGGCTGCAATATGTTCATACAAACATAGCTCAGTATACATGAGTGGTTCCCAACCTTTTCTTGACCAGCAACTACCTGACCAGGGACTACTTTAACCAGGGAGCACTCTCCAACGTTAGCACCAAAAGAATTACGAACTGGTTTTTGGACAACTTTAGATTCAGTTTTGTTATTTGGTGTGCCGAGCCAGAAAATTGCATTGGATAGACCACATCAGCTCTAGTTACTGATACAGAACATATGCCATCCAGTAGTCACCATCTGCTCGCCCACAGAAAACCGTATTTAATAAGCCTTGGAACTATAAGAGCATTTCGAGAGACCAGTTGCTGTTGTTGCAACACTGTAGTAACCGTGAGGCCACAGGCTATATTTTCTTTTGGACCACTGGTGGTCCACGGACCACAAGTTGGGAACCACTGGTATACATGAACCCCATGTAAAAGTTTTGTAAAACCTAAAACTTCCTTTTATTTGGAAAAGTAATTTTGCTAAATTGTAGTATTTGGAAAAATTTATCTGAGACAAAAAGTGTTTGTGAAATAGGAGAGAATATTTTCTGGAGTTATGTTTGTAAGGTACACTTGGCACTCCACTTGAAGGATAATAGATGGTGCAGAGACCTCTGTGGCAGGCAACCTTTGAGGATGCCTGCCACAGATGTGGCTGAAACATCAGAAGATAATGCTTCTGGAACATGGCCATAAAGCCCAGAGAACTCACAGCAACCCAGTGATTCCAACCATGAAAGCCTTCGACAACACAGATGGTGCATAGACAGATAACAGAATGCAGAAGGCTAATAAAAATTTAATTCATAATTAAGATATGACAACGGAATGGTCAGAAGGTGAGCAGAAGGTTAAGAGACTAGACACCATTTCAGTTTTGTGACATATGCACTCAGTATCCAAGGAATACAGTGACTGAACTGTGGACATGATCAAGATCATTTGATGAGATTGGCGGTACACTCTATATTTATAGAATGCATACTGAAGACAAATTCCAAAGTATTAAAATATTTTTGATATGTTCATTAGAATGGAAATAGAAAACACAAAATATACACTACCTCTAAGGAATAAATGATATGATAAGGAAGAAGATTGCGGAGTAGAACCGAAGGCCACAAATGAACAACATAAGGCAAATCCCACTGATCTCCTGTACAAGCAGAACACGTCAAAGTATCTTGCATTGGAACAATATTGATGAAAAGTGGATGATTAGATGATTTTACAGGCAGGCATTTTTTCTGCAACGATTTGCCGAAATTCTTAATCATTTCATCAAAACTAATTCCATCACTTGATGAGTACTCTCCAGAAATGACATGTTCATCCACCACTGGTTTAAAAAACAATAGCGATCTGTAAATAAACACACCAGTCATTATTAATCTTAGGCTGTTTTTCAGTATGTTTTGCGACTACAACAACAATACATTTTGTTTGTTACCCATCTCTTCCCGCGGCTTAAGGTGAGTACAATGTGGTTAAAACACAAAATTTATATGATATATTAAAATACATACATAAGAATAAAATGCAGATTAAAACACACAAGGAAGAAATCTAAACCTAACAATATATAATAAGAAATAATACGATACTAAAAGGGCAACATTAAAAACACATATATCATTTTAAAAATATAAATTATAAAGCAGTAACCCACAGGCATCCAGAATAACAGCATACTGTTTATTCATGTTTATTAAATTAGAAAGTTCTTCACCAGATAACTTAAAAACTAAAACTAAGGTAGAGGAGTGTTTGACAATGTGACTTATAAAACACTGCCATTCACTTCACTTTAAAAAATAAGGACAGGTTGCTTACGTTCAACTGTGTTTCTTTGAGTGGTTCTCTGTGAATTCACACAGATGGGTCTAACTGCATAGGACCTAATGAAGCTTCTCCAACCTCTAGCTTCTTTGAAGGAGGCAGAGGTTGCTTCGATGCAAATATCTGCCTGGCCCTCGCAAAGCTGTTATCAGCCATAATCAAGTTGTGGGGTTGAAGGCTGATCCAGGAATAATTCTTGCCTGACCAGAGGCAGTGATTTTGTGGCAGTTAGGATGGGCCTCTGGGTGACTGTACTTGTGGACTTTTGAGGAGAGCCCTAGAGTTCGCCATCTGTGAGAGGGTCTGCGACTGAGTCCAGTGGAGAATGAGGTGGTTGTACTGGGGTAAGGGATGGCGAGGAGCGACAGGAGGAGTGCTCAGAGGTTGCTGCATCTGTCTTTGATGATGCTTGAGGAGGGCTGCTGAATTCTCTTTTTGGAAACCATCTTCCTTTACAGTTCTGCTTCCAGAGACTTTCCCAGGGAAGACGGGATCGATGCCTTTGCCGGAGTCTGGCCTACTGCTACTGCCCTTCTAGCCTCTTCATGAGACCTCTTGAAAGCAATCTTCAACAAATATGAAGATGGAGGTGTAGCCATGAAAATCTCACCAGGGCCAATGAGCCCAATATCAAGATATCAAGTGATGGAGTGGATCTTTTCAAAGCTTGAGACTTCAATGTCAATGTCTTTTTCAATGAGGTCTTCAGTGCCTTCAAAGTTGTTGACGTTTGAGAAGGCATGATCGAAGGAGTCTCGGACACCGATAGTGTGAGAGACCTTTGATATAACAGGGAGCGAAGCCTGCTTCCCTGTTCTTCCTGGCCTGTGATGTAAATGCTTGGCAGTGCCAGCATGCTCTGACAACATGGCCTTCGTCAAGGAAAAGAAAGCAGAGTGAATGGTTGTCAGAATCCGGGATCTTTGTGGAGCAAGTCATGCAGTGTTTGAATTTTGTCACAGACATTCTGATTAGGGGCAAAGCTCTGAGGTAGCTGTGACAAAGGAGAAAAAGGAACTGAGGAGCTTCTGGTCAGGGCACTGTTTATACCCTGGGGAGAAGTGGGTCCTGCACAGGCACAGTTAGACCCATCCATGTGTATTCACAGAGACCATAAGAAGAATCCCTTTTCTTTTAATCGAAGATAGATTATAGAAATATAACCATTCCACAATAAATTAAGTGGATAATCTATTCCAATTTTTCAATTCATACAGACTTGAGAAGTCATGCCACCACATTTATGAACTGCAAAATATAACAGAGAAGACTCAAAGAGTACCAGGCAGTTCAATCCTTTCTAATGGGAAAGGAAGAACAATTTAAACTGAGACTACACACAAAGAATATAACAGAAACCTTTAAAAATATGCTTATGGTCAGTTTAATAGGAACCATATGTAAAGCAAAAAGGGGAACAATAAAGAAAGGAAGAATTACCTGTAAGAGGTCAATGGTATGCTAAATTCATCTTCTGGTAATGCCACTCCTAAACATTTTCCATTTTCAAAAACACTCAAGGGAATTGTAAAATGATTCTTTATCTAGGTGGAGAAGTTGAAGACAATGTATGGGAAAGGACTACAAGAAACAAAGACTACAATTCCAAACACCACCAAGATGTCATAAGCACAATTTACATCTCTGTCAATTTATGTACATTTAAAGTTGTTTCACTTAAAGTCAGGCTACATCACAATCCATCTCAGCACAAATATTCCATCTTTGTGCTGAATATTTGTACTCTCAGCACAAATATTCCATCCATCTGGGAAGCAGAAGGAAAATATAAACATAGGTTGTTAACATGTAACTTATGTAATTGTGTATGGACATATGTGCATTTGGTTCTACACCTCCCAGATCTAGAGGTCTGGCAGGAGTCTTATTCTATTTCCTTGTGTACATGTCTGATTTTCAGTTCATAACCAGCAGACACAGTGGCCGAAAGATGAGAGAAATGACTGGCATGGGGAAAAAGTGTAAGGTTTCCAGATGTACAGACGACCACACAATGAATATTGCTGGCACAAATAAGCAATCTGCTGTCTTTGTTGAGGTCTCTTTTTTCATCATACATATAGATAAATGTTATTAAATTTACCAGGCCTCACAGGTAAGATAGAATCACAAACCACATAGTTATGCCAAAAATCACACCAGCTCTGACATGAGCATCAAAATAGTTGTCCTTGATAGAAAGTGGATGTCTGGGACCATGTCATCATTTGACAAGTTCTGATAGAGTCATACCTCTAAGAAAGGCTGTTACAGTAGCCACAATTCTTGTGGAATAGTTTCAAAGATATGTAGGATGTGGTATATTAGCAATCTGATGAAACAGTAGAAACACTTTCACTACATGTCAAATGAAACTATAGGATGACAGTAGCTGATCATTTTGGATCCAGGAAGACAGTGAGCAGTACAAAAAGAGGCAGTGAGGAGGAATGTGGAGTTAAGATGAGAGTTGGACAGATAAAAGTTCATTCTAGAGAGGCTGAAGGAGGAATCAAACATATTTGGTTTTATCTCCTTGTGCCTATCAAGGCAGGAGCGCTCGAGAAATCCATTCCATTCCAATGCAACCTCTAAGTCCCCTTGCTCCCTTCACTTTGATTTCATAGTCTTGTTAACTGGATAGAAAGACACTGAGTACAGAAAAAATAGACAGAACAAGGAAAGTGAGCATGAATTGCTCTTCAAGTCTCTGTACAATGGCCACTCATGTTAAGTATCAACATCATAATCTCAAGGAAGCTGAAGGAGTAACTTGCCACTTGTGGGATATACCTAAAACTCCCCCTAATGGGTGGACATAACTACCACTATTCTGCTTCAAAAATGTCCTTCCAAAGGCTGCTGGAGTGATTCCTCCTTTCCTCCCTCCCCTCTTGCATTGCTTCATCACTCTGGCTAGTGTCTTGAAAGGTGCCAAGTGGCAACTAGGTCTGTGCATTTCGGCTGAACCTTGATCAGTTTCTGCTTGCCAAATTTCAGGAGACCCCCAGATCTGTTTTCATACACCTCCTGAAAATAGGCTGCAGACGAAAAATGAGGCTAGAACCAGTCCCTTGGCGGCAATGGAGGAGGGGGAAGGGGGCTTCCCAGGCTCCCCTTCCCATCATTTTTAGGGCTATCAGGATCGGAATGACCACATTTACTGCTATGGACGGTGTGAGCAGACCTTAGGGAGGAAGAAGACGGGGAGATCTTCTAGAGCAGACCCAAAGTGTGGGAAAGGGGCAGCCAGAGACAGCGGCAATGTGGCAAAGTATGATCAACTAATCCTGTTGGGGCAGCTCATAAAATTGCTTTTGGTACTAAAAATTGCTGTGCAAAATATTTGAGAGACAGGTTGCTTGCAACAAAGTGACAGCTGACGTATTTTAGTTTGAGTCTGGGAAAGAGGGTTGGTTGTAGGTTGAGATAGGTGTTGATGTGTGCCTTGGTGAACTCTGAGGGATGCTGGGAGGGCAGGCATGGTCCCACACCACTGGTGTGTGGCGTGGAGCATAGAGACAGTGTGTCAGAGAGACTAGAGAGTGACAGTAAGAGAAAGAGGGAGAGACTATGCCAAATGGTTACAGGATAGATTCTCCAAAAGCTCATTCAGATACAGAAACAAATCAGGGTTCAAATTCAGACCCTAAATATAAAAGACCTAGCCAGATCAGTTAAAAACTCTTGGAGGTTTCTCATTCATAGGGGAACCAATAACGTGAAGCCAATTTGTGGGCACATAACAAGAAAACATTATTTTCTAATTATTTTTAGAATAATAGTAATTTTAATATGTGAAATCTACTCATTTACCAAATGCTTATATACAATATACCACCACAGGCCTGCACAACCTGTGACCCTCCAGGTGTGTTGGATTTCAGTTCCCATTCGACAAGCTGGCTAGAGCTTCTGGGAAACAATGGTGCTTCCTCAAATGATTAAGTTAGGAGATAATTAAATATTTTAATGTCCATTTACCAACCATTAACAGATCTTACTTGAATGGGTGAGCGTACTGTTATCATCTTGCTCCCTTCAATGGTATCAATTTGACAAACAATCGACCGTACAACACCGGAGTCGTTGTGTCTTACTCTGTAAAGACTTCGTCCCACTTTTGTCAGTGGAATCTTGTCAGTTGTAGAATGATTCTCGGGAGCTAGAAATTAAATACATTGAATTTAAAGAAAAGAAACTACTTGCTCTGTAGAAATTAGCTTTATTCACTAACAACATAGTATCACCAGTGTTCATTCAATGTAATTATTACGACTTACCATATTATATGGCGTATAAGATGACTCCCAACTTGCCCAGTTAAAATATAAAGTTTGGGGATATACTCACCATATAAGACTACCCTCTTCCAATGCACACCAAATAATTAAAAAAAAACCACACACACATCAGATTTGATTTCAATATGGTAATTTTCCTACTACCGTACCTCCTTCTCTGCCTCTCAGATCTCGCATGTGTGGGCCTGCGCTGCTTCACTGCAGTCCTCAAGAGCGAGATCTGAGAGGCAGAGAAGGAGGCACGGTAATAGGATATAAGGGCAGGCCAGACAGGTGAAAGAGGTGTGTTTCTCTTTTGTTTCCATATCCCAGGCATCCTGGACACTGCAGCTTGCTCCACCCTTCACTTACATCTTCCTGATGAGGCGCCCCCCTCACCTTGTCATCGGGAATGCGCTAAGTAACTTATTTCCATGAATCATGGTGAGTGGATTTTCTTCTACCATACTTGTACAGAGCTGCCCTTGCTGCTTTCATATGATCAACGCATATGGTGAGGATGCAGCTGTTTTTGAGCTCCTCCCACCATATGCTGCGACAGCAGATTCTCCAGTCCAGCTAAGAAGTTTCAGCACCCATCTTATAAGACGACATCCAGTCTATAAGATAACCACCAACTTTTGAGAGGATTTTCCTCGGTTAAGAAGTAGTCTCATACACCAGAAAATGCAGTATCTTTGCCACTGAAAAGAAGCTAGCTCTGCTAGATTCCCATTTACGCATTCAGCAGCAACACAATCCCAATTACCAACAAAAAAACACATACAGCATGTATTAGAATAAAACAAGCCACAAGTTTATTTATTACAGCTGTAAAAGGCCTGGCCCCCAGCATGGGTCCTGCTCTAGGCACTGGTCCAACAACTAAATTAGCCCATCTCCTGAATATCTTCCAATATGATAAATATGAGATTCCACAAGTGTGGTGTGCCACCTGTGAACAGGGCAAAGCTCACTGTCCTCAGCAAAGAAGTGTGGACACTTCCACTGTCCTATAAGTAGACTTTCCTACACCACTTGTGCTGGGCACACAAGCCTCATCTCTTCTTAACTAGATCAGGTTTCCATTTTAAAACCAACACTAAACTTATAATGAAACATCAGCTTTATACAACATGCCCAACAAAGACCTGATGAACTACAAGCATGGCAAAGAGTTGAAAGGTGATGACAAAGCTCCAGAGAAGACTGCCAGAGCAAGCACAAGGGACTAGCTTAGACAGTGTGACTCCAGACCTGACTGAAGCTTTCACCTTCAGACAACCAGACTGTACCAAGTTTAGCTAATTTTCCTTGTACTTCCCAAGCTTAAGAAAGTTGTATGGATTGCCCACTCCATCCAGTTTCAACCTGCAACCAGCACCTCTCAATAAGTCAAGGAATACATTTGTGAATATACGAGGGTTGAATGAAAAGTAATGCCTCCACCTTCGTTACTTGGGTTTGGATGGGGATATTTTAATAAATCAAACGCATAAATAATCCTTAGAATGTGCTCTTTAACTACCACTATTCACTTTTCCACATAATCACCAGACAATTGGGTACATTTCTGCCAACGGTGAACAAGTTTCGGAAGCCGTCACGGAAGAAGTCGACACTGTTTTCACAACCTATTGTGCACAGATCTTCCGATAGCGAAGCGAAGCAATAACGTGACCCACACATTCTTGTGAAATGGCGATTATGCTTGAAATTTCTCTCTGAGTGATACAACAATCGTCCTGAATCAATCTGTCAACCTTTTGCTTGTGAAACTCGGTGGTTGCTGTCACAGGACATCCAACTCTTTGTTTGTCACGCAAGTCAGATGTTCCCACCTCAACATCTTTAAACTTACTCGCCCAACGATGCACAGTACTCACATCAACACAATCACCATAAACAGCTTGCATTCTCTGATGAATCTCCTTTGGGGTGACACCTGCTGTCAAGAATTCAATGACTACACGTTGCTTAAGTCGTACGGACTGACTACTGAACAAGCCAGTACCTGCCACATACCAGTACTGCCATCTGTTGAGGAGTTACGAAGGTGGAGGCATTACTTTTCATTCAATTAAAATTAAATCAGAGCATATGAATTGGTCCTAGAGAAAAGAGCACAGTGCCTTCAAACAGTTAAATTAGAAAACAATTGTTAAAAGGCTGTGTTGTGAGAAGAGGAATAGAACTCTCTTTGTTCATCCATTTAGATTGGGCCACAACATGGGGGATGCACACTGTTGCTCCAATCACAGATCTTCTGTTCAATGTATAGTTTGACATAAACACATATGAATCCTAACATGTATATTTCTTGATTACAATTACATAATAGAGGTCTAGAAAAATAAGCACAATTAGAAACACAGTACAATCCATTGGATTACAGTAATTATGGTACCACAGATAAACATAGCCTAATAAAACAAAAAGAGTTTGATTCCTGAAATAATGAATATATTAAAAATAAGCCTTACTGAGCCAAATGTAAAATAGTTTGCCGCTCAGGGTAGTCATCGCTGTGAACTGGTCTTGATCACGTTTAGTTCTGATATACTCCATACTTAGATTTTGTCCATCTTCTAGATAAAATGAATTCCCCTTTGGTTCAATATTTAGGACACTGAATGAATCACTTGGTAAGACACTGATGGAGACTCCTAAGGAATTCTTTAGTACAAAGGGGACCTGATCTTTTTTGAAGTCTTCAGAAGTCTGTGTGGCTGCCTCTGCAAATGCCTACAAAAGCAAGATACAAGGCTATTTAATTAACTGATGATTATGTTTTTTTCCCTAATGCAAAACAGTTTATATTGATTTTTATTCATTTAAGACACTGAATCAAATCAATATCGTACTTACTGTGCCCAAGTTACTCAACATTAGTAGCCCACATTTGGATAGTGTAAGGTTTAACTGATCTTGAGAGTAAATAGTTATTACTGTTTTGTATTCTGGCACTTTGTAGTGTTCCTCTTCAGCAACTGAATCAACTAAAGCTTTTTTGGCTTTGTTTTTCATCTATGAAGGGAAAAAAAGGTGGCTGAGAAAAAAAATGCCAACATATTCTGTTGCTCTTTCTAGTACTTCAAGTGTGATATAACCTTTCAAAAGTGATTTTAAGTATAATTGAATCTTGAAGTCTTTGAAGTAATCTCAGAAGACAGTGAAAGGACCACTTTACAATGAAATAAAACCCACAATAAATAATACAATAGTCTCATGATTTCTGCTTCAGCTAATTTATTTTACTAGGGACAAACATATCATTATAAATGGAAAGGTGTATTTGGAACAAAGAACTAGAATATTGCAAGTTCTACACTGAAGACTTTCCAATGTTGGAATAGAGAGCAGATACTTCCCTCACTAGTCTGCTCCCAATAACAGTACTTTCCCCCCCATTAAAGTGAATGGAAGCAAATATTTATATGTAACACTCTCTTTATTTAGAGAGGATATACACTAGCTGTGAAAGTATTCTCAAATCAGGGAGTGATTTGAGAATACATGTATAACCAAGACCAATGTTATTTGTCTGATTAAATAGAAATAACACAGTGTAACAAGATTTTTGTTCCTGAGTAATAAATGTCATTTCCTAATTGGTTCTATCAAAAAGGCACAGAAATAAGTTTATTAAACTGCAAAACTTTGTTTTTGCAGGACATTCTGCAGCACATTTTGCTATAGTGCTTCAATGAATGTCTCATAAAGTCTCAACCAACTTAACAGTTTGAGGCAGCCACAAAAATGAAGTTTCTGGAGTATAACAACTACTTCAAAGTAAGCACTAGACAATTTAACAGGAATAACACTTTCAAACCAGGAACAGAAATCTTTTCAAATTTTGTTACACAATGTAATGTATTATGCATCGATTAAGTCATTCTGTCTTGCAACCAGGTTTATTTATACTACTAAAACTATACCTTCAGTTCTAGAACCCATGGTCGGAATTCATCACTGTTATCAATTTCCAGTGGTTCAAGCAATGGCTCCCAAACACCAAATATTTCATTATAATAATGTACCTAAAATACAAAACCCAATTAAAAGTACAGTCTGTGTGATAACCATCTGCATGACATAATAAAATGAAGAACACGTAAAAGTAAATATTATTCAGGTGAAGCGGAAGCCCATCATTCTTACTATCTTACATGGAAAGCATTTTAAAATAGAAAAGTGTTGAGGCTCAGCGTCCTGGCAGTGAAGCTACTACCAGTTGTAGGAGGAGAAGGAGTGATGCTGAGTTAAGAGGAGGAACAGCGTCAGCTGAAACGCATTCGGGATATTATTTTGGCACCTAGTGACTCTGAGGACTTTGCAGGATTTGGACCCAAAGACTTAGAGGAATTAGATTACAGGGGAGTAAAGCGTGTTGCCAGTGAGTCTGACAGTGATGAGGAAGTAATGAACAAATGGCTTAAAGATATAGCCGACAATTGCAGTTTGGATGATCAGGGATCCAGTGATGGGGAAATGGAAGAGGGGCTGGACTGGACGCGTGTTAGAGAAATTCAGGACATATGTACACAGCCCACGTCTAGCGAAGAGTTTGAGGGTTTCCAAGATACATGGCAGGCAGGTACGTCTTGGCAGGGGTCTGGACAGGATCAATGTTGGCAACGTTGGCGAGGTAATGAGCCAGCAGCTGAAGATAATGATCCAGGTGCAAGTGATGATAGTCAATCCAGCGATAGTGACTGCTAATAAAATGAGGGCTTTGGGATGTGTAGCTTTGCAGAGGACAAAGCGTTGTATCGGGTGTTTTGTGCTGCCTTATCTCCTGTTTGGGTCCTGGGAATACAGCTATCGTGTCTTTGTGTGCCTCGACTCTGGATTGGACTACGTGAGTGACTTCGTCTTGCCCCTTGACTACGGAACGTTCCTGACTACGACATCTGCCTTTCGGACCCTTCTTGCTGCCTGTCTCCGTGTTTGACCTAGGACTGTTTGACTCCGCATTTGCCAGCGCTAGTTTTACTCCAGCTTTCCTTTTTGAGTGACTGAGTTCTGAGGAAATCCGGCTTTTCTCCTCCTTTGTTTACATGCTGGAAGGCCTTTTTGTTTTGCTAATTAGTACTGCAGTTTAAGTGCTATTAGCCTTGTTAAAGACCCATTAAAGACTCTGTTAACCTCTTATTTGCTGTGTTGGACAATCTTTGGGCTCTGAGTCATGACAAAAACAGTGATCAACATTAATGGTTTTTAAATTTTCACTATTGCCAGATTTAAATTTCACCTCACGCTTTCAAAGTATCCAGATAGTGCATATATTCTAAAGAGGTCAACAAAATTTGGCCATGGTTAGTACATAGATGTGATGGTGTGCCACAGGTTCCCACCAATGGTACATTTAACCGGTTTCAGGAAAGCATTCTGAATGGCGGTTTTTAGCTGCAGCCTGGTCCTTGTGTGTACTTTCAAGGGGATAAGGATATACAGGTATATGAACACAAGCCAGGGTGCTGATTCAGAGTGGGCTATTCCAGATCAGCATTGATAGTAGCTACACTGTCAGCCCCTGAGTTGGATCGGAGCTGCATGGAGATTACACAGGCAGCCACTGAACTAACTCAGCAGAACTGAAATGGGTTTGGCATTACTAACTTGCTAACCATATCTCGCCCCTCAATAACTTACCGAAGCAGTGCCCACGAGCCATCAAAATGTCAGCGGACATTCTTTGGCATCTGGAATGATGATATCCAACACAACAACAAGAATCAATTCCTCCTCCTCAGTGCCAAGTTCTGAAGAGTGTTTGCTCCATTTTGGTGTCAACAAGGTAGGTGCCTCCCCTTTCCTTGGGCTGCTTGAGCCCAGGGAAAGTGGGACAGCATATAAAATCCATTCATTTCACAGGGATGCGGTACCTGGATAATCTGAAGTTTTGGGAAAGCTCTGGAGTATCCAGCGACTTCAGATAATGCAGGTCAAGGCTGTGTGATGCTGAATCAACTCTGTGTATTGTGTTATGCCACAAAGCTGGTCCAGCATCCCTGCCTCATAAATGGCTAGTCAAGATACCTCCTTAGTGAGCAAAAATGTTGTATAGCTAGGTCTGAAGTTAAGACTGAAATAATATATTTCATCCAGGAACCTATGGAACTAAGAGACTACCAAATACATAAGAACTTTGCTTTTTTAAAAAAGACATTATGGTGATTTGCCAATAATTACTTACTAGCTGTGTTCAGGGAAGGGATTTTTCCCCAGTAAAAGACTCAACAGTGTCTCTTTTAAGAAAGGTAGAACTCTTGTTTTGCAGCGGAAACTGCTCCCACCACCACCCCCGACTGCTTCTGTAAGCCCAAGAAAGAGCATTGCTACATTTTACATCTCAATAGACAACTCCATCAGACAACTATGCTGATGCAATAAATAAATAAATAAATAAAATTTCTAATTTTTTTTACAAAATTACATTTATTAATCTTTTTTTAAAGGTATTGCAGTAACAGAACTCTGTTCTACTTACCTCTAGTTCAAGACGAGAAGAGAGATTAATTAGACTACTCCAATCTTTGACGTCTCCAGAAAATGAAGACTTTGCTAAGAGCATTGGCACAGTTCTGTGACCAACTCCAGCTTCAAGAGTTACAACCAAAGTCTCGATTTTCATTTTCAAAGTCTCGCCATTAGGAATCAATTCAGTTTCAGAAACAGTATCTTTATTTTCACTTGATTCTTCAAGAAACCACAAATTTAATTTTTTAATATCCTTCTTCTCCCAAAGATCTGGTGGAACTGGGCTAACATCCTTCTCTGCCGTCTCTGCTGCTGGGAAAAATGCTGATGTAATGGTCATGACTGTATTCAAGATAACAGGTGACACCTGTGTTAAAGAAGATTACTTTTAATTGAAAGTGTGCATGGCTAATGAGAATAAGTGCACATTAGTAGCAGCAATCAAGTGAAATGCAGCTATGATTATTTTCCTGAAATTACATTATACTTTAAAATAACTCAACACTTCCAAAACAATATATTGTAAATTTTGAGTTTTTGGGTTGCTCTAAGTTTTTCGGGCTGTATGGCCATGTTCCAGAATTTTGAGTTTATTTTTAAAATGGGTTTACTTATACAAAATTAATGTATATATCTCACTTTCTGAAAGACAGCGTCTCCCTATATGAACCTACCAAAGATCTCCAGGGGAAGGCTTTCTTTCTGTTTTGCCACAATTACAGGCTCTCTTGGTGAGGACAAAAGAGAGAGCCTTCTCAGTGACTTCTTCTACCTCCTGGAATGTTCTCCCACGGAAAGTCCCTTTACAGTTTTTCTTTTGCTGGCAAACAATTTTTAAGCAAGGGGCTTTTTATTGGGGATGTTTTATTTATATTTTTAAACTTTATTGATAAAATGAATTAAAGTGTTTTATGAGGTGATTTAAAATTGTATTTTAAATATTTAAAATTTACAATTTCTGCAGACCACCTTAGGTTCTACTCTGGGAAAAGGGAAACAGCTAAATGAATCATAGAATCATAGAGTTGGAAGAGACCTTGTGGGCCATACAGTCCAATCCCCTGCCAAGAAACAGGAAAATCATATTCAAAGCACCCCCAACAGATGGCCATCCAGCTTCTATTCAAAACCTCCAAAGAAGGAGCATCTGGGCAGAGAATCTCCTTTCCTATCATTTGAAGCCATTGTTCTGTGTCCTAATCTCTGGGGCAGCAGATAACAAGCTTGCTCCCTCCTCCCTATGACTTCCTCTCTTGATCATTTTAGTTGCTCTCCTCTGGACACATTCCAGCTTGTCCATATCTCTCTTCAATTGTGGTGCCCAGAATTGGGCACAGTATTCCAGGTGTGGTCTGTATACCAAGGCAGAATAGTGGGGTACCATGACTTCCCTGGATCTAGACATTGTACTCCTGTTTATGCAGGTCAAAATCCCATTTGCTTTTTTAGCCGCTGCATGACATTGTTGGCTCACATTTATTTATTTATTTATTTATTTCGGGTACTTCTACCCCGCCCTTCTCAACCCCCGAGTTGGGACTCAGGATCGGCTTACAGAAAGGCACAATTCGATGCCTGCACAACATACACATAACGTATAAAAACAGTAGTTAAAACAATTATCACAGTTAAAAACAATCGGTACATAACACAATCAATAAAACTATTCTCATGTCAGCATTTGTCTTTCAGAGTTCCGTAATTCCATTCCATTAGTCAATTCCTGTCCATTGTCAAAGTCCTTTCTTTATCTGCCAGATTGTCCGAATGCCTGGTCCCAAATCAAGGAGTGATGTCGCTGATCTAATTTCCCCGGGGAGTGAATTCCACAGGTGGGGGCCACCACCGAGAAGGCCCTGCTCCTCGTCCCCGCCAATCTGACTTGAGATAGAGGCGAAGTCGAGAGCAGGGCCTCCCCAGAAGATCTTAGACTCCGGGGTGGGACGTAGAGGGAGATCCGTTCGGACAGATACACTGGGCCGGAACCATATAGGGTTTTGTAGGTCAAAACCAGCACTTTGAATTGTGCTCGGAATTGGATCGGCAGCCAGTGGAGCTGACACAACAGGGGGGTGGTATGCTCCCTGTATGACGCTCCGGTGAGCAGTCTGGCTGCCTCCCGCTGGACTAGTTGGAGTTTCCGAACAGTCTTCAAAGGCAACCCCATGTAGAGTGTGTTGCAGTAATCTAATCGGGATGTAACAAGAGCGTGGACCACTGTGGCCAGATCCGACTTCCCAAGGTACGGGCGCAGCTGGTGCACAAGTTTTAATTGTGCAAAAGCTCTCCCGGCCACCGCCGAGACCTGGGGTTCCAGGCTCAGCGATGAGTCCAGGATCACTCCCAAGCTGCGAACCTGCGTCTTCAGGGGGAGTGTAACCCCGTCCAGCACAGGCTGTAACCCTATGCCCTGTTCAGCCTTACGACTGACCAGTAGGACCTCTGTCTTGTCTGGATTCAATTTCAATTTGTTAGCTGTCATCCAGTCCGACATAGCAGCCAAGCACCGATTCAAGGTCTGGACAGCCTCCTTGGTGACAGGAGGAAAGGAGTGTCAGATTTGGACATCATATGCATAGAGATAACAACTTGTTGTCCACGAGGACTCTAAGATCACTTGCTGTTATCGAGCCAGGCACCCCCTCCCCATTCTCTATCTTTGCATTTCATTTTTTCTGCCTAAAAGGAGTATCCTGCATTTATCGCCTTCTAAACTTTCATCACTCATTAATAAAGATGTTGAAAAGAACCGGGCCCAGGATGGAACCCTGCGGCACTCCACTTGTCCCTTCTTTCCAGGATGAAGAGGAAGCATCGGAGAGCACCCTCTGGATTTATTCACTTAACCAATTACAGATCCACCTAACTGTAGTTTTGCCTAGCCCATTTTTGACTAGTTTGTTTGCCAGAAGGTTGTGGGGACCTTGTTAAACGTCTTACTGAAATCCAGGTATGCTACATCCACTGCCTTCCCTGCCATCTACCCCGCTTGTAAATCTATCCAAAAAAGGGATTAGATTAGTCTGGAATGACTTGTTTTTTATAAATCCATGTTGACTATTAGCGATGACCACCTTCCTTTCTAAGAGTTTGCAGACCACTTCCTTAATGATCTTTTCCAGAATCTTGCCTAGAATCGATGTGAGGTGACCAGACAGTAATTATCTGGGTTGTCCTTTTTCCCCTTCTTGAAGATAGGGACCACATTTGCCCTCCTCTAATTTTCTGGGACTTATCCCGTTCTCCAAGAACTCTCAAAGTTGATTGTCAGTGGTTCCGAAAAGACTTCTGCTAGTTCCTTCAATACTCTTGGATGTAGTTGATCTACATATTTGTAATTGATCTACATTATGTTTATTTATTGTTAAATAAATAAACAAATACATTTTACGGCATATTCTGCTTTTCCCCTCCAAAGATGGTATTCAAGTTGACTAATACAAAAACCTAAAACTAAAAGCACTAAAAGAAAAGCCTAAAGAGAGTAAGAGATAATAAAAATAAGACAGCACAATCAAAACATTGATCTCTTAAAAAGTCTTCAAATGCTAATAGAATATAAGCAGAATGAGAACTCCATATATATTACTGCCATATAAGTTCTTGCATATTGTCTTTAACTGTTTCTTAAACTTAGAGAACATAATGATTAATGGAAAAATA